TTTTAAAAAAAAATTTCCCTTTCGCGCTGACCGCACGCGGAAAACAACTATCTTTAACTTTCTAGAGATATCTGAACAACTTCCCACCGAGGAGATCACACAGTTCTGTCCTGGTGTGACTAACCTTATTTCACTCAACATTACGTCCCTTGAGACTGCATCTCTGAAACTAAGAACCTGTTTCTCTGCCCAAGCAGAGATGATTACTGAGTATTGGAGTGAGTCTGACCTCGCGAGCACTCTCATCTGAAGAGTCAGCTCCATGTGCTCACTTTATCCTGCCCGAGCAGCGAGAACCTCTGTCCGCATCCCTTCTCCCTGTGATCCAATCCCATTCTTACGAGAGACCCTGAGTTCCAGGCACAGCAGGATGCTGAGAGGTGCTTGAGGACAATACCTGGCGTCTTTGGTTCTGTGGCTTCCCTTCCATTAGAGTCCCCACATCCTCTGCCTGCAGGACTTAAATCCAGGGATGGCCTCACAGAATAGACCTCTGAAAAAGCTAAGAGAGTTCAGAGGTGCAGGAATCGGGACAAGCAGCTTAGCTTTGGAATGACAGGGGATGACATTAGTGGGGATGACAGGGTATCGTCTATGTGAGGATCTAGGTACCCAAGAGGCTCCGCCTTCCCCATGGCAGGCTACCGCAGGCATTCAGCGTGTGAACTCTCCCTGATTCCTGTACTTGTGATTGTCCCCTGTCTGTATGCGAAAATAAAAGCTGATGAAGATGTAGTGAACTTTCCCTCCTTCCACAGATAGACCGGGGAGCCTCTGGGTCTCAGGCAGCTTTCCCACATCTGAGCACAGGCAGGGGCAGGAACGGGGTTTCCCTGGGTGGGAGGATGAGGTCCCTCCTGCGCTGGGTCTCGGCATCTTTCTGTGATGATTCTCTGCCCCCTGGTGGTGGGAGGGGACCTCAGCAGAGGCACAGCCCCCAGTGGGACGCCTCTCCCCAGGATTCCTTGTACCTGGCCTCTGGTCCACTTAGCCAGGGAGGGAAGGATCCGACCAGGGGCAGCGGTTCTCAACCTGTGGGTCGCGACCCCTTTGGCGGTCGAACGACCCTTTCACAGGGGTCGCCTAAGACCATCCTGCATATCAGATATTTACATTACAATCCATAACAGTAGCAACATTACAGTTATGAAGTAGCAACGAAAATAATTTTATGGTTGGGTCACAACATAAGGAGCTGTAAAGGGCCAGAAGGTTGAGAACCACTGGTCCAGAGGCTGGAGGTGGGGAGCTCAAGCAGGAGTGGGAGGGGCCGCAGGTGAAGTTGGTTGGGGAGGGGCTACAGGTGGGATTGATTGGGGAGAAGCTGAAGGTGGGGGCGGGAGAAGCTGCTATTTAAGGGTGGGTGACCAGGCTGTAACTAGGTTGCCTCTTCCGGCCTGGAAGCCAGCTCCAGCTTGCTGAGGGGTCAGTGCGCCCACCGTAGACAGCACAGCATGGGGGGCTTCTGGCCTTGGATGCTGGGTCTGCTCTCTTTGCCAGGTAAGCGGCTGCCTCGCCCTCCTGCTTGGGCTTCAGTTTGCAGAGTGCTGGGCAGAGACCAGAGGGTGTGGCTGGAGCCTGCCAGGCCCTGAATTGGTTTGAAAGGCTCAAGAATGGGCTCTCCAGGGACATTCCTAGAGTCAACTCCAGGGGCCCCCACGGGAGGCCTCCTGAAGGGCCCGCAGCAGAGGCCTGCCTGGCAGTGTGGCACTCCAGAGGCCTCGTTCTGCTGGCTTGGCTAGGCTTGCTGGGCTGAGCCCAATTTCCAGAGGCCTGGGCTGAGAAGGGAGTTGTAGGGCAGGGTCTGAGGCTGGCCCACACCCTGCCACCAGTGTTGCAGCCTGAGCTTTGTCCCTGTCCCTCCTTCCTGCTGTCTCCCCACCTCAGACACCCACATACTCTTGAGCAAGGGCTGCCTTTTGCAGCCGGTGTTGGTCCTGCTCAGGGAGCCCCTTCCTCAGAGCTGTCTAGCCCTCAGCACCGGCTGGGGGCTGAGAGGGGCGGCCAGGCAGGCTCCCAGGACTGCTTGCTGGAGCCTCCCTTAGTGAAGGGAGGGTCACCCACCCCCACCCCCACCCCCGCCCACGTCCTGACATCCTCTCCCACATGGGGGCGCTTGGGCCCATGTATGTCTGGGCCAGGCTTGATCCTAGGAGCGCCCCCAGCCTCCAGCTGTCCAGGAGCCTGTGGGAGCAGCTTCTCAGAAGGCCTCACCCCTGAGGGGACCCAGACATCTTGGGACAAGGACATCCCTGCGATTAATCAAGGTGAGGGCACCGTTCTTGGGAGGGGGGGAGGTGCAGCAAGGTATGACGGTGTCCACGTGGTGTGGGGAGAGCTGGCTGACAGCTCAGCTGGCAGGAAAGCTGAGAGGAAGCGTGCCTATTCGGGGCTCTAGAGGAGTAGTGGTTCTCCCTGCAGCTTTCCCCATCGGTTTCGGTAACTTCTCAGCTGGTGTTACTTTCACAGAAGGGGGAACGCACAGGACTTATGAATGGCCCAACAGAAGTGTGGGCTCTCTCTGTCTGCTGTCCAGCTTGGTCATCAGTGGATGTTGGCAAACATGTCGGCCACCTGGTGCAGCACGGCCTGCAGGTGTGAGGGGATGAGCTGGGGACACAGAGCAAAGAAGCATGAGGCCCAGGGCCTCCCTGTCTGGGTCTCAGGTGGAGAATGAGGACACGTTGATGTCCTGGGACGGAGCTGAAAGCAACACAGACGAGGGTCCGGATGTTGGAAGCTTTCTTTGGGGGAATGGGTGACCTTGCCCTGGGGATGGGACTGCGGATGAGAAGTCACGTGTGGTCCGCCCCTTCTTTCTGCGAGCCGGTCTGCAGCCCGGCACTGCTGAGCTGGAGCAGGCAGGACACTGCCTTTGGTGACTTTGACCTGTCTGGGGTAGCGAAACCCAAACTGAGGCTTCCCTGGCATCAGTTTTTAGATGCCATAGAGAAAGCTTTTAGCTACTATTGCTGGCAGCCCAGACAATTACATTTCCATGAGCCTCCTATAGCAGCCGGGAGCACACGGTCCCAGCTGCTGGGAATGCTGGCTACTGAGGCCTTACAGCTGAAGGCCTTCAGCCAGGGG